CCCCCCCCCCCCCCCCCCAGTGACAGGGTCTGTGCGTCCTGACAGCACCAGTGTCCGTGGCACCACAGTGTGCCCAGCACAGTGGCCCTCGTCATGTGTGTAATGGAGCCCTGGAAATGCAATTCCTCTGAGCTTTACCTGAAAAGTGGCTCAGAGTTCAAAGACTTAGCTCAAAATTGTAAGATGTATCAATGATTTTATTACATTGATTACATGGTGAAATGATAATATTTTGGACCAAATAAAATATAGTCATATGTTAATTTTACCTTTTCCTCTTCAGTGTTTTACAGTGGTCGATAGAAAATTTAAAATGACATTTTGGTTTGAATTCTCTTTCTGTTGGACAGCGCTGATATAGAATCTGTATCTATTACAGATTTGGAACTTTCAACCTGCCTGATAGGATCAGTTATAAACCTGATTTGGGGGCCGGCCTGGTGGTGCAGCAGTTAAGTGGGAATGCTCCGCTTCAGTGGCCCGGGGTTCGCAGGTTCGGATCCCGGGCACGCACTGACGCACTGCTTGACAAGCCTGTGGCGGCCTCCCATAGAAGGTGGAGGAAGGTGGGCACGGATATTAGCTCAGGGCCAAGCTTCCTCAGCAAAAAAGAGGAGGATTGGCATCAGATGTTAGCTCAGGGCTGATCTTCCTCCCAAAAATAAAACACCTGATTTGAATGACGAAATGTCAATTTTGCTTATTTCTAAAGTAGCTTGATAAATTATGATTATATAAATTACGTACAGTTGATTTTCAAGAGCTATATTAAGGTAAAAATGTTTGCAAACTGCAGTGTATTATACAAAATCAAAACTACTAACTAATAGTTTTTTTGCTGCACAGTCAGCTTCCATTGTTGCAGTACCAGGTCCCAGCAGGGCCACACATTTTCTGCAAATGGTTTAAATGCGAGACAGCAGTGACAGCACCACCTACAGGGCATGGGAGGAAATGCGGGGCCAGGATGGAGCCCCAGGCAGGAGACCAGGACCAGGAGGAGCCATGTGGCCCTGAGGCTGAGGGGACAGGGAGCCAGAGCTCATGGAGCTGGGGAGTGTCGGAGGGGACCGGGCAGGAGCCTCGACTGGCAAGCGGGGTCTGTTGGGAAGGAGGCGGCGTGG